CCTTTTCCCATTTTTCCCCCCTTTTTTTCCCTCTTTTTCCCTTTTTTTCCCTATTTTTCCCCCCTCCTACTCATCCAGCAGCACCATCTCCCCTCCTGGGCACTTGAGAGAGGCAAAGCCCACCTGGATATAGGATTTATCCCCCTAAATATAGGATTTTTCTCTGGATATAGGATTTATTCCCCCTGGATATAGGATTCCACCCCTGGATATAGGATTTCTCCTTTGGAATATAGGATTTCACCCCCTGGATATAAGATTTCTCCCCTGGATATAAGATTTCTCCCTCCCCATATAGGATTTCTCCCTTGGATATAGGTTATGCTCATCTATATATAGGTTTTCTCTCCCTTGGATATAGGATTTCTTCCCTGGATACAAGTTTTCACCCACTGGATATAGGATTTCTTCCCTTGGATATAGGATTTCTCCCCTAGAAACAAGTTTTTACCCCCTGGATATAGGATTTATCCCTCCTGGATATAGGATTTCTCCCCTGGATATAGGATTTATCCACCAGATACAGGATTTCTCCCCTGTATATAGGTTACGCCCACTCATATATAAGTTTTCACCCCCTGGTTATAGGATTTCTCCCTTGGATACAGGTTTTCACCCCCTGGATATAGGAATTCTACCCCTGGATATAGGATTTATCCTTCCTGGATACAGGATTTCTCCCCTGGATACAAGTTTTCACCCCCTGAATATAGGTTTTCTCCCCCTGTATATAGGATTTCACCCCTGTATATAGGATTCCTCCCCTGGATATAGGTTATGCCCATTTGCATATAAGTATTCACCCCCTGGATACAGGTTTTCACCCCCTGGATATGGGAATTCTCCCTCTAGAGAGAGGATTTATCCCTCCTGGATATAGGATTTCACCCCTGTATATAGGATTTCTCCCCTCGATATAGGATTTATCCCCCAGATATAGGATTTCTCTGCTGGATATAGGTTACACCCACTCGTATATAAGTTTTTACCCCCTGGATATAGGATTTCTTCCCTGGAGGTAGGTTTGCACCCCCTGGATATAGGATTTGTCCCCAGATATAGGATTTCTCCCCCCTGTATGTAGGATTTCACCCCTGCATATAGGATTTCTCCCCTGGATATAGGTTACGCCCACTCGTATATAAGTTTTCATCCCCTGGATATAGGTTTGCATCCCCTGGATAGAGGGATTCTCCCCCTGGATACATGATTTATCCCCCAGATATGGGATTTCTCTCCCCTGTATATAGGATTTCTCCCCTTGATATAGGATTTATCCCCCAGATATAGGATTTCTCTGCTGGATATAGGTTATGCCCACTCGTATATAAGTTTTTACCCCTTGGATATAGGATTTCTCCCCTGGATATAGGATTTATCCCCCCTGGATGTAGGATTTCACCCCTGTATATAGGATTTCTCCCCTGCATATAGGATTTCTCCCCTGTATATAGGTTACGCCCACTTGTATATAAGTTTTCACCCCCTGGCTATAGGATTTCTCCCCTAGATATAGGATTTTCCCCCCCTGAATATGGGATTTCTCCCTTGGATATAGGTCATGCCCATCTGTATATAGGATTTCTCCCTTAGATATAAGATTCCCTCCCCCGTATGTTGGATTTCTCCCCTGGATATAGGATTTCAGCCCTGTATATAGGTTATGCCCACCTACATATAGGTTTTTGTCCCTGAATATAGGATTTCTCCCCTGGATGTAGGTTTTTCACACCTGTATATAGGATTTCTCCCTTAGATATAAGATTCCCTCCCCCGTATGTTGGATTTCTCCCCTGGATGTAGGTTTTTCACACCTGTATATAGGATTTCTCCCTTAGATATAGGATTATCTACCCCTATATATAGGATTTATTCCCTGAATATAAGATTTCTCCCCTGGATATAGGATTTTTCCCCCCTGGATATAGGTTATGCCCACCCATATATAGGTTTTCTTCCCTGAATATAGGTTTTTCTGCCCTGGATGTAGGTTTCCTGCACCTGTATATAGGATTTCTCCCCTAGATATAGGATTCTCTATGCCTATCTATAGGATTTCACCCCTGCATATAGGATTTCTTCCCTAGATATAAGTTATGCCCACCTGTATATAGGATTTCTCCCCCAGAATACAGAATTTCTCCCCCAAAATATAGTATTTCTCCCCTAGATATAGGATTCCCTCCCCCTGGATATAGGATTTCTGCCCTAGATATAGGATTTCTCCCCTGTATATAGGTTACACCCACTCATATATAGATTTTTTCTCCTCTGAATAGAATTTTTCTCTCCTAGATATAGGATTTCCTCACCCTGCCTATAGGATTTCTCCTCTGGCTATAGGTTTCCTGCCCCATAGATAAGTTTTCCTCCCCTTAGGCATAGGATTTCCACCCTGGCTATAGGATTTCCACCCTGGCTATAGGATTTCCACCCTGGCCATATCATTTCCACCTCGTACCCATCACCTTTCGCGGCGGTAAAACAACCCCAGGAACTTTGCGGGGCCATGAACACGCCCCAGGGGGAAAAACCATCATTCCCCTTTTCCTAAAATCCCAAAGTTTTAAATAAATCCCCCAAAGAACCCCCATTTTTAGCAAAAACTCTTCATTTTTAGCAAAGAACTCTAGTTTATTAGCACAGAACCCTAATTTTTTAGCAAAAATGACCCTATTTTTTTTTAGTAAAAACCCCAAATTTTTAGCAAAGAACCCTAATTTATTGCCAAAGGACCCTCATTTTTTAGCAAATCCCCCTATTTTTTAGCAAAGAACTGTCATTTTTAGTGAAGAACTCAAATTTATTAGCAAAGAACCCTAATATTTTAGCACAGGACTTTCATTTTTTGTAAAAGACCCTAATTTTTGGCAATGCACCCTCATTTGTTAGCAAATTACCCTAATTTTTAGCAAAGAACTTTAATTTTTTAGTAAAAAAACCCTGTTTTTTTTTAGCAAAGGACCTTAATTTTTAGCAAAACACCCTCATTTTTAGTGAAGAACTTGAATTTTCAGCAAAGAACTAATTTAGTAGCAAAGGCCCCTCATTTTTTTTAGCAAAAGACCCTCATTTTTAGCAAAGAACCCTAATTTTTAATGAAAAACACAAATTTATTAGCAAAAACCCCTCATTTTTTTAGCAAAGGACCCTCATTTTCACCAAAGAACCCTCATTCTTAGTGAAAAACACTAATTTATTAACAAAGAACCTGAATTTTCAGCAAAACACCCTCATTTTTAGCAAAGAACTCCAATTTATTAGCAAAGAACTCCAACTTTTTCATCAGAGAACCCTCATTTTTTAGCGAAGACCTCTAATTTTCAGCAAAGACCTCAATTTTTTAGCAAAGAACTCCAACTTAGTTGGAAAGAAACCTCATTTTTTTTTAGCAGATCCTCAATTTTTATCCGAGAACCCTAATTTTTAGTTAAAAACACTGATTTATTAGCAAAAAACTTTTTTTTTTAGCAAAATTAGCAAAATTTTTTTTAGCAAATTTTTTTTAGCAAAATTTAGCAAAAACAGCGCTAATTTTTAGCAACTTTTTAAGCAAAATTTAGCAAAAAAAGGCTAATTTTTAAAGAAAATTCTCTAATTTTTAGCAAAACTCTCTAATTTTTAGCAAAATTCTTTAATTTTTAGCAACATTCTCTAATTTTTAAAGCAAAATTCTTTAAATTTTAGCAAAATTCTTTAATTTTTAGCAAAATTATTTAAATTTTAGCCAAAATCTCTAATTTTTAGCGAAAACCTAGAATTTTTAGCCAAAAACGTGGGGTTTTTTTGTGCAAAAAACTTAATTTTCAGCCTAGGGGGCTTAATTTTGGGGTGAGGATGCTCATTTTTGGGTTGTCACCCACCGTAACCGTCCCGTTCCCGCTGGGCAGGAAGGAGCCTGCACGAAGCTGGATGAAGACATCCTGGACATCCCGCTGGACGATCCCGACGCCAACGCGGCGGCCGCCAAAATCCAAGCGAGTTTTCGGGGCCATATGACCCGTAAGAAGGGCGCCCGCCAAAATCCAAGCGAGTTTTCGGGGCCATATGACCCGTAAGAAGATCAAAGGTGGAGAAATCGATCGGAAAACCAAGGATCCCGAATGTTCCAACAGCACCCGCGGGAACGGAGATCTCCGCAACGGCGACTAGGTACGACCAACCCCAAATTTACCTTTATTTACCCCAAAATTGAGGCGT